TTCAACAAGACAGAAAATAACAAATGCTGGCGAGGATGTCGAGATTGGGACTCTGATACACTGCTGGTGGGACTGTAAAATGGTACAACCACTGTGGAAAGCAGGATGGTGATTCCTTCAAAAGTTGGAATTAGAAATACCATTTGACCCAGCCATCCCATTACTAGGTATATATCCTAAAGAAGCGAGAGCCACAACAAAAACAGACATATGCATACCCAAGTTCATTGCAGCACTATTTACAATAGCCACAAATGGAAACAACCTACATGTCTATCAACTGAGGAATGGATAACCAAACTATGGTACATATACACAATGGAATACTATGCAATGCTAAAAAATAATGTAGACTCTGCAAAACACTGGATAACATGCATGAATTTGGAGGACATTATGCTGAGTGAAATAAGTCAATCAAAAAGGATAAATATTGTATTAGTCTGTTATTGTAAAAAGTGAAGGAAATGTTTATCTATGGGAGGAAATTTTCTTTGTTGGTTACCAGAGGTAGGAGGGGAGGGGAGGGAACACTGTTAGATAGATAGAGATAAATATTGACTTGGGTGAAAAGAAGGGCAATGTACCAAATATGAGTGATCAATATGGTGGCATTGAGGAAGAGAAAGACAGAGAGAGGTACATGGGAGGTACAGACAACAAAGATGAACCCTTTTGCACATAGAGTACTGCGTTTTCAGTGAAGGCAAATATGGGTTTACGGGTGGATAGATGGGTGGACAGGCTGAACTAGTAGGTATGTCTATGAAGCAGGGAGTGTACCTGCGAACACGTATAGGGTTGGCAGACAACGGTCCTATAAGTTTATGTGTATGATCTGAATTCCCAGTTTATAGTAGAGCTGACAAAAGGCAAGGTGATAGTCACTGCTTGGTCAAAGCCAGCTACCCAGAGGGACTGAGTAGTTGAACCTGTGGCCTCAGGATCATAGTCGCAGGGGACATCAAGCTCAACTGGCATAACATACTACACAAAACGTTGTTCCACTCCTACTTTGGCGAGTAGGGACTGGGATCTTAAAAGCTTGCAAGCTGCCATCTAGATGCAACTATGGGTCTCTCCTGTCCAGAGCAATGAAGAATGAAGAAAACCAAAAATTCATGGATACGATCAGTCCTAGCAACTGATATACCATCCGATCTGCAGCCTATATGAGTATGAGACCAGAAGAACTAGATGGTGCCTGGCTACCAATGTCAACCACTTGGAAGGGGATCTATGTAGGAGATCCTGGATA